TTTCTTTTGGGTAATTGATTAAATGATTTAATTGATCTTAGGGGTCGTAACCCGGGGTGTTACACTCTCCCCCCCTTATGAGGGGCTTCGTCCCCGAAGCCCGGTGTGTTAATCCACTCTTTCACCCCCAGGCATCCCGCATCTTGGCCTCCTGGTTAGGAATGCGGCCCCACGTTTTTGCCTTAGCTGGGGTAGACTGGGTTTCTGGTGGTTTGTGATAGAAGAGTTTTAGGTCTACCTTGGTCTCCTGCTCCTGAGCTGGATGCCCCGCGAGTGCCCAAGGTGGCCTCGATCGCTGCCACCCTCTGATCTAGTGTGCGTGTCGTACGGATCAGGGATGAGAATCCTTCTTCCAAGATTTGGTTTTGTCGGTTGAGCTGCGCGAGTATGCGTTCATTGATTGAGCCCTCGTTTTGCTCCCTTGGATTTCCTCCTGATCGTGGTTGCACTGTTGGGTTGGGTTCGTCTTCCTCCTCCTGGTCCTCATGTCCCTCCAAACCCCCGCAGTCTTGCATGGCTCGTTTGAGCTTTTTGTTGGAGATGTCCAGCCGGTCGACCAATTCCCTTCGCTCTTCCTCGGGTTTTTGGCAAATTTCTTCGAGGGTGAGGCAATGTCCCCCTTCGGTGTAGTAGATGTCGTTGCGGCGGAGGTTCTGGGCGTTAAAAACCATGCCATTTGCAGTCTTGACCTCGGTGTGGCTTAGGTCAACCCCCTTTTTCTCCATGATCCAACTTAGGATCATCCCGTAGGGTAGGCTAAGCCGGTTGTTTGACTTGCAGAATTCTATGTGTTTTAACATGAGTGCCGGCAGGTTGAACTTGATTTTATGTTTTAGGAGGTAAGCAAAGGTGCACTCCAAGCTTCCCACATCCTTGCTTTTGTTATTGGTGGGCAAGAGGTTATCGGTTACAATCATAACCAATATCTTTTGCTCCGCCGATAGCCACTTTCGGTTTGGTCGAGTGGCCGAGGTGAACCCGTCCTCCTTTCCGAGTAGGTACCCGAGGTAGTCCTTGTACCCCGTGGTTTGGGTATCAATCCACCCCTTACAGTTTTGTTTGCGGTTTTTCGGCAGATGGGGACGACGGTCCTCGGAGGGAAAAGGTTGGACTTGGTGTACAGGGGTCCTGGAGGTAATGGTTGGAACTAGACATAAGGTTGGGGGTAGCCATAAGGTTGGAACCGGGCATAAGGAAGGCATCTCAATTCGTGATGGGTGATGTCACGAAGGCTTGTGTAGCCGTTGTTGTGTGTTTCTCTATTTTGTGACGTGTGATGTCACAACGGCATGTGTTGCCAATGGGTGTGTCCCTATTCTCTTGTGTTATGCATGTCGGGTGATAATCTATTGTGTGATGGTAGATTATACCTTGAGTCGTTCTTGTGAGTCGTTATTGCTTCTTATCATATTGGGATGTGTTCCCTTATCTTTTGAGAGTGCATTGAGTCTTGTGTTGATCTCTATCTTGGCTTTTGAAATTGATATATACTATATCCCGTTTCGCAAATGATTTTGTATATATCTTAACTATCTAAATATGATATTTCACATGTATTGGTGGGTTACCAGCATCATTCGCTGACCGGGCGTCGTCCCTTATTTTATGTGTTTCTTTCAGGTGATGAGTAGACGAGAGCGCGGTCTAGAACCTGTTAGCTTAGATCCCTTTGTTGTGAGATGTTTTGGCCTGTGTGCCAATGTTAGACATTAGTACTCTTGTTCTGTATGGATTTAGATTGTGGATTATGCAGATGTTTCGCCTATGCGTTCACCTTTGGGTGGGCGTGGCATAGCACCCTATATTTCCTATTTATATAATCTTTGTTTAGTCTTCCGCTGTGTATGATGTTTTGGCTAGTTATCTGCATGTTTAAGGTTTAATGTAGCATGGAAATTAGGGGGTGTTACAGGTTGTGTGAATGAAATATATAGTACCCTCATTTACTCATATGTAGGTGGTTTTGTTGGAGGTTGTTGGAGGTGAGACGACGGTCCTCGGAGGCATAAGGTTGGACTCAGAAGTACAGGGTGGCACTCGGAGGTAATGGTTGGAACTAGAATAAGGTTGGGGGTGGCCATAAGGTTGGAACTTGTGACATGTAGTTGTCACTGTGGCATGTAGTTGCCAATGTGTGTATGTGTCTTCTTTGCTAATGAGCATGCCTTAATGTATTCTACTTTGTGAGTAGTAGAGTATATCTCGAGTTGTGTTGGTTACAGTTGGTATTCATGTCTTGATGTATTCTACTTTGTGATCAGTAGAGTATATCTCGAGTTGTGTTGGTTATAGTTGGTATTCTTGTCTTAATGTGTTCTACTTTGTGATCAGTAGAATACCTCTCGAGTTGTATTGTTTACAGTTGTTATTCTTGACTTGTTGTTATCTTAAGGATGTTGATTTCCTTTTCCTTTGAGAGTGCGAACGAGTCTTTGATGTTAACTTCCTCTATGGCTTTTGAAATGACATATACTGTATCCCGTTTCGAAAATGGTTTTGATTTATACTAAATATATATGTTATTTAACGCTTATTGACGGGTTACCAACAATGTTCGCTGACCGGGTGTCATCCCCTATCTTTATGTTGCTTTACAGGTTTTGAGTAGCATCTTGGAGAGCGCGCTAGCTGATCGTTAGCTAGTGTAGCTCCTTGAGACTGTTTAGTTAGACTTTTGGCGTGTGAGCCATGGATTTTAATAAGTATGACCTTGACTTTCTGTTTAGAATTAACCTGTGCACCTATAGATGTGTAGGTGTGGCATAACATCTCCCGTACTTGTCTTTTAGCTTCCGCTTTTCTTATGTTGATGTTTAGACTGTTAATCCCTTTAATTTAAGTTTTAAATGTTGTGAAAATCGGGGGTGTTACACTTCAGGACTCGCTATGGACATTATGAGTTCACGGTAATGCCGTTCGGTCTAACCAATGTGCCGGCAGTGTTCATGGATTTGATGAACCGAGTATTCGAACCGCACCTAGATGATTTTGTGATAGTGTTCATCGATGTGATTTTGTAATCGTGTTCATCGATGATATCCTCATATATTCCCGTAGCAAGGAGGATCATGGAAAACATCTTTGAATCGTGCTTCAAATTCTGAGAGAGAAACAGCGTTACGCCAAGCTCTCCAAGTGTGAGTTTTGGAAGGACAGTGTAACATTCTTGGGGCACGTGATTAATAGCAACGGTATCTCAGTGGATCCATATAAGATCCGAGTTGTGAAGGATTGAGCTGTACCGACGACAATTAGGGAAGTAAGGAGTTTCCTGGGTTTAGCAGGATATTACCGCAGGTTCGTATTAGGCTTTGCAAAGGTGGCTCAACCGTTAACCAAGTTGTTAAAGAAAGATGTTCCTTTTCAGTGGAATCAAGATTGTGATTCAGCATTTCAAGAATTAAAGGATAAGCTGACGACTACGCCCGTGTTAACTCTTCCGTCGGGGACAGAAGGATTTGTAGTGTACAGCGATGCGTCAAAGAAAGGTTTGGGGTGTGTTCTAATGCAAAATGGATGAGTAATCGCATACGCCTCTCGACAAATTAAGGTGCACGAGGAAAATTATCCCACTCATGACCTAGAATTGGCCGCGGTCGTCTTTGCTCTAAAAATCTGGATCCATTATTTATACGGAGTACAATGTAAAATCTACACGGATCGCAAAAGTCTCAACTACATTTTCACGCAAAAGGATCTGAACATGCGTCAAAGACGTTGGCTAGAACTCATCAAGGATTATGAATTGGATATTCAGTATCACGAGGGAAAGGCAAACGTGGTAGTCGATGCACTGAGCAGGAAATCTAAACATTCTATCAGCTTTATCTGGGTGGTGGCCGATGAACTTTGTAAGGAATTACAAAAGATGAACTTGGAGGTGGTGGAACAAGGTGGGGTGGAAGATGAGGTCCGTTTGTTCAATTTGAGGATCGTGCCTACCCTCATGGAAGAAATAAAGGATGAGCAATTGAAGGATGTCGGCCTAGCAAAATTGAGGAGTGAACTAGTCGGGGGAAAGAAGGGATCTTTTGAATTATCCGAAGATAGGGGCTTAAGGTACAAAGGTCGTTGGTGCATACCCGTGTCTTGTGACCGCTTGAAGCGCCAAATTCTGGAGGAAGGTCACAACACTCCTTATTCGGTACACCCCGGGGGTGACAAGTTGTACAAAGACGTGAAAAAGCTTTATTGGTGGCCTAACATGAAGAAGGAAATAGTTGACTTCGTGAGTAAGTGCTTGAACTGTCAGAAAGTCAAGGCGAAATGATGCAGGTCCAAAGGATTGGTGCAACCGTTGGAGGTACCCCAAGGGAAGTGGGACTCCATTTCTACAGATTTTGGTAGGTTGATTACCCATGACCCGTACAGGCAAGGACAAGATTTGGGTGATAGTGGATTGTTTAACTAAGATGGCTCAGTTCATAGCTATGAGGGAAACTTGGTCAATGACGCAATTAGCCAAAGCATACATAAGTCAGGTGGTGAAGTACCATGGAGTACCTCGGGATATCGTCTCCGACCGAGATCCTAGGTTCCTATCTCAATTCTAGAAGTCTTTGCAAGCTGCTTTGGGAACAAAGTTGAACCTAAGCACTGCTTATCACCATGCCACGTATGGACAAACTGAGAGGACCATCCAAACATTTGAGGATATGCTAAGGGCGTGCATGTTGCACTTCTAAGGCTCGTGGGAAGAGCACTTGGACTTGATCGAGTTCTCTTACAATAACAGCTTCCATGCAAGCATACATATGGCACCGTACGAAGCGCTCTATGGTTAGAAATGCCGAAGTCCGTTATGTTGGGAGAATTTGGTTAACCCGGTGATGTTGAGACCGCAATATTTGCATGATACCGTAGGGAAGATCAAGCATATCCAAGGAAGGATGAATATGGCACAGGATCGGCAAAAGTCCTACGCGGATTTAGGAAGGAAATAGGCAGAGTTCGCAGTTGGGGACAAAGTGTGGTTAAAAGTTTTTCCCACCCGGGGAGTAATGAGATTCGGAAAGAAAGGCAAGCTATGCCCCCGGTTTATTGGTCCCTATGAGATTCTCGAGAGGATAGGGAATCTCGCATATCGTTTGGCGCTACCAATGGAGTTGGAGCGGGTGCACAATGTATTTCATGTGTCCCAGTTGAAGAAGTATGTGCACGACCCTTCGCATGTGATTTCGCCAGAAGTGGTACCTCTTGCCGGTACAATGTCTTATGAAGAAAGACCGCTCCAGATCTTGGACTTCAAGACAAGAGAAACCCGTAGGAAGTCAGTGAAGATGGTTAAGGTGTGGTGGTCGCATCACGAGGTGGAAGAAGCAACTTGGGAGCTGGAGTTCGCCATGAGACAGCGTTATCCGGATCTGTTTACCTTAGGTACCTCACATTACCTTTCTTTGCGTGTAATCTTAGGCCAGGTGAAGGGTAGTTGATCTTTTAGTAGTTTTGTGCTTGAGAAGTTTTCCCCGTTATCTTAAACCCTTGCACAACTCTTGACCTTTGAAGCCTTGATTATGTTTATACACTTGCTGACTTTTGTCACATCTTTGATTCGTTGCTATCTTTTGTTGAACCCGTCGTACCCAAGCTTCGGGGACGAAGCTTCTTGTTAGGGGGAGAGGATGTGACACCCCGTAAATCTAAACACTAATCTATTTGTCGTGTAGGTCATGCTTCTTTTAATACCCCATCTCGTTCCTTCCAATTGTCTAATATCCTTCATGTTCCCAGTGTCTCTACTTCTTTATTATCTATTCAAAAATTTGCAATAGATAATAAAGTGTTTTTTGAGTTTCACCCGTCTTTTTTGTTGTGAAGGATATCAACACCAAGGAAATTCTACTTAAAGGCAATAGTCATGGGGGTCTCTACAAGCTCCCAATTGCAACACCATCTCCCTCAATTTTTCTTACAGCTCGCACCTCTCCGTCAGTGTGGCATGATCGTTTAGGACATCCACACCATCGTGTTTTACTTCGTATTCTTCAGTCGTATCCGGTTAGTGGGTCAAATAATTCTATTTGATGTAATTCTAGTTTGTGTAATGCATGTCAAATGGGCAAATCCTCTCGATTCCCATTGGCACGTGTTGAGACATCCAATTCTAGTGTCCTTGATTTGATATACACAGCTATTCGGGGTCCAGCTCCCCTTTTGTCAATTGATTGCTATCGGTTTTTTGTTATTTTTGTGGATGATTATACTTGTTAAACTTGGTATTTTACCATGAAATTAAAATCTGATCTGTATGCCATCTTTGATCAATTTCGTACAATGGTTGAACGATTTTTTAACACAAAAATTTCAGTCGTTCAATCAAATCTAGGAGTTGAATACAAAAATTTCATCATTCCTTTATTCAATTAGATATCCTTCATAGACAATCTTGTGTCTACACTCATAAACAAAATGGTCGTGTCGAACGAAAACACAGACACATTGTTGAAACAGGTCTGGCTCTTCTAGCCCGTGCCTCTCTCTCATATAAGTTCTGGGATTTTGCATTTGAAACTACAGTTTATTTAATTAACAAAATGCCTTCAGTTGTATTAAATAATCTCAGTCCACACTTTAAAGTGCATAATTTCAATCCCTCCTATTCTTTTCTTCGTGTCTTTGGGTGTTTGTGTTACCCATATCTCAAATGATATAATCGTCATAAATTCTCGTTCCGGTCCACCCCATGTGTTTTCATAGGTTATCCTGAGTCGTTTCGGGGGTATAGATGCATGGACTTATAGACTAACAAGATTCATGTGGGCATGCATGTAAGATTTGATGAAACAGTTTATCCTTTTGATACTAAAAATACTGTGCAGCCATCTCCACCTGAGAAATTCTGTTAGTGGGCTGAGTCAGTTCTTTATCCCACTGCGATTTCGTCGCCGATTGGTCCTGTGGTCGTCCCACCCAACACCACCGGTAGTGATTCGGACTCCTCTCGACCGCCGCCCACTATTGTCGTCGGACCATCTGCCTCGCTGGACCGATAGCTGCCTGTTGAGGACGTCCAGCCCGTCAAACGTCCACGTGGGAAAATGATCAAATCCACGGTTCGGACCCATGAGATGCATCCTTCCGATCCCATTTAATTGTTACACACAGGCTGTTAAACATTCAGAATGGCGAGCGTGGGACACCCCGTAACTCTAAACACTAATCGGGGATTAATTGAAGAATTAATCCAAACTTTCTTTGATAATCCATTTCTAAAAATCCTGAAATTTGATAGTCGTGGGACTAGATTTTTACTAGTCACTTAAGTCAAATGGGTGTCCCTTGTGCTTCTTGAGTTGTGCCCTTGTCCCCTTGTCTTTCGAACCTTAGTAAGGGTAAAAATGGTTTTTCACCTATGAATTTTGGTTCAAGCTACCCTAACAAGACATGCCATTTCATTCATCCTTTCAACCTAAGACTCAAGCACTCTAGCCTCTCTCTAAAATAACCTAGCTTATTCTTCAAGCAAGAAGGTGAACCTCCAAGTCTTGCAAGATCTTTCACCAAGATTCCAACTTTCTTCTTCTTGAGCATAGGAAAGGGTAAGGTTCTTGCCTTTTTGGTGTTTTTAGTCATCTTTTGGGTGTCTTTATCTAAAGTTAGAACCTTTCTTGTGTTTTGGCTTGTGTAAGAAGTTGGCGTGCAAGAAGAGCTCTATGAAGAAGCTTAAGAGGGTGAAAAAGTGTGGTTGTTGGTCTACAAAGGTAACCCATGCTTTACAAAAGCTATTTTCTTACTTAAATGATGATTCTTGGCTCCTACTTGTTGTTCTTGATGTGATTTGTAAGATTTGATGCACGATCTTGTGGTGATGCATGTTTAGAGCTTGTTTTTAGGCTTCTTGAATGCCATTGCTTGGCTATTTCTTGGGTTCAAGTCATATTTTTGTTGTGTGTGAGATTTTCGGTGTTTTGGACTTGAACCTGACCTTGGTGATGAAAATCCCCGAAGGGATTTTGGTGTAAAGGAATGAACCCCGCGGGCAGTGGCCTACCCGCCGCCCCACCCGCGGGGAACGTGTGACTGTTGGGTTGTACCCCGCGGGCAGGCCCACGGGTGGGGGCTTACCCGTGGCCCCACCCGCGGGGAACACTTGTGAATGTGTGCGAGGATTTGTTCCCTGTGATTCTTTCTTCCCGGTATTGATGTTTTGACCTCCCGTTGTTGATTTATTGTGCTAATTGTGATTCTTATTGATGTTTCGTATGTCTAGAACGGTGTGTTAGGATTCCGTGTAGGATTTGGTGTCTTGAATCGTGCTAAGGGTCCAACTTCATGATTCGTTGGGCTAATGTGAGTCGTGAATGTTTTTTGGAATTAATTTGGTTTACCCGTTTGATAAGCATGCTAGTTTGATGTTGATATGCTAGTATGTGTGGTTCGTTCCTTCTTATTGGGGTTGGCAACTTGTGTTGACAATCATTTGGTGTTGGATTGTAATCCTTTGTTGTTGAGTATGGTCTCATGTCTTTATTGTGATCTCTTGATTGATTCCTATGGTGTGATCGTATGTAATCGTTGTAGCCTTTGTTGATATATGATTGGGGTTATTGTTGAGCCTTAGTCTTCTTGATACTAATGACTATGTGTGACCATGATTGAGATTGGTGGCTTTGTTACTTGAGCTTTGCTCACGAGATCGGCGGTTTTGTGAATATGATATTTAATGGTATCTTCATGTACTGAGAGATCGGTAGTGATGTTTGGCGGTGTAGGTGGGGGGGGGGGGGGGGCGACGGTCCCCGGAGGTAAAAGGTTAGACTCAGAAGTACAGGGTGGCACTAGGAGGTAACGGTTGGAACTGTGATAAGGCCGGGGGTAGCCATAAGGTTGGAACCGGGCATAAGGTTGGAACTATGTGATTTGAAACATGAAATTGTCATTATGTGATTGTGTGATTCCTTTGCTTATGAGCATGTCTTGATCTATTCTACCTTGTGAATGGTAGGATGCATCCTTAAATTGTCATTATGTGATTGGTCTTTGATGTTGACTTCCTTCATTGGTTTTAAAATGATAAATATGGTATTCCTTAGTTTCAAATGACTTTGATTATATCTCTCTATACTATGTTATTTAATGCGTACTGATGGGTTACCAGCCATGTATCTATCAATTTTTCCTTTATTTTGTTTTGGTGATTTGGTTTTTCACCCCCATTCTTTGTTGTTGTTGTTTTATTTTATTTTTTTTTTTGTGTTTTTTTAACAAGCCTTCGGCTACTGCTGAGGTGCTTGGCCTTGGTCCATGCCGAGGTACGAGACCTCGGCTCGTGCCGAGGCGCGGGATCTCGGTAGTGGGCCAAGGTGCAAAGGCGATGGGGCCTCGGCAAAGTGCCGAGGTGCTGTCGCGGTGCACCTCGGTATTGTGCCAGGCCAATTTTTTTTCAATGCCTTATGTTAGCCTCCTCAATCAAGTCTTATGAGACTAGTCAAGTCTTGTGAGACTAGTCAAGTCTTATTAGGCTATGTCTTCGGGCTCTTCCGTTGGGGTTGGTACGCGAGGTCGGACCTCGTGCCCCCTTCGGGTACGTTAGCCGATCTAGCTAAGTCCTCCTGGACTATGCCACCGGGCTCCTCCATCGGGGTTGGTACATGAGGTCGGACCTCGTGCCCCCTTAGGGTACATCCTCCGTAGGGGTTAGTACGCGAGGTTGGACCTCGTGCCCCCTTAGGGTGCGCGTTAGCCGCTCGGGCTAAGTCCTTCCGGACTATCCCACCGGGTTCTTCCGTCGGGGTTGATACGAGAGGTTAGAACTCGTGCCCCCTTAGGGTGTGCTAGCCGCTCGAGCCAAGTCCTGTCAGACCAAGCCAGCGGGCTCCTCCGTCGGGGTTGGTACGCGAGGTTGGACTTAGTGCCCTCTTAGGATGTGCGTTAGCTGCTTAGGCTAAGTCCTTCCAGACTATGTCATCGGGTTCTTCCGTCGGGTTTGGTACGCGTGGTTCGGCATCATCCCCCCTTAGGGTGTGTTTGGGGAAATCGAGTGAGCACTCGTTCCCTCCCTCTCATTTGTTGTTTTTCTTTGTAAAGGTAGGAAATAGCAACGCCAAGGTCCACCTCTCACGTGATTCCTACCACAAAAGGAACACCATTGGGGTTGTTGTGACACCCCGAAATCCGAATTCAATTAAGGGATTAATTAAGTAATTAATCATATTTCAATTGATAATTTAATTCCTAAAAATCCTGAAAATTCAATAGTCGGGGACTAGTAATTGACTAGTCAACCCCAAAGTAAAGGTTGTACCTTAAGCTTTGTAAGGAGTTCCCTTGTTCCCTTACACCTCTTCGTGTTATTAAGGGTATTCTTGACTTTTCACCTTGTGTTAGTAATGTATGCTAACCTAGTAGAACACCCTCATTTTTCTCCTTACACTTTCCAAATTCTAGCTCTACCTTCTCTCTAAAAAGGTATATAGCTTTTCTTCCGAGTGAA